CCTATCTCTCTTTCCCTTTCTTTCCTCTTCCTACTTTAGTTTTTATTGCTTGAAAATTTAGTAAGATTTAATTTGAGCCCAGTTTCAGCATTGGAATCTGTGTATGTGTTTTCAAATTCTGTAGCTAAAAAATAAATTTCCCCTTACAATGAAGAACCACAGCTTTACTAAGGGCCTTTTTTTCATTTTGCTTCATAAAGTTAATCATTGGAATCACACACGATAATGCTGCTAGCGTTTAATTGATCTTGAGGTTCTGAACAAGCTAATATAAAATAAAGGGAGTCATTAGATTAAGAAGAGCCAGGAAAATGTGGGAGAATATCATATCTGTCATATGAAAACCTGCAGTGGAAGATATTGTTGGAATGTTTGCCATTCAAAGGTAAGTAGAACCAATAATTACAAATATTTCAAAAAAATATTTCAATACAAATATTTCAATATTTGTTACTGCAAACTTCAAACCGAATGCAACTTCTCCTTTTTCAAAGTCTGATGGATAAGACAGATCTGTTAAAGAAAAATAATAGAGTGTATTTTCAAGGAGAGTGGTCTACACAGCTTCATTTTTCAAAACATAAGGTATCTGTTCAGCCATTCCACCATGTCTATCCTGGCTTCCTCAATGTAAGGTACGTCTCTGGGCTTCATGTCTTCAGGCTTGCACTGAGCAAAGCCATGGACTTGTCCAGGATAGACTTTAACTTTGTAGTCTACTAGACAATATTCCTTCAGTTTCTGCTCCAATAAGGTGACCTAAAACAGATAGTAAATTCTATTAGACATTGAACAGGAAGTTAATAATCAATCTTTTCCATTCTTTGCTTCCTTATCACTTGGATTCCTTAAAGGTTTGCTTTGAAGTTAGCGTTTAGCTATAGCAGATTTCCCCCTTGTCCTTGCTGGCAACCCCCCAAGGAGTACAGAAACTCGCCCAAGGGTACTGTGACATTTCTTCTGACTGGAAGTGGCATCACTGTCTCATGGGACAACCTAGGATTTCACAAAAAATCTGGTAAAACCATAGAGTTTCAGGGGAATCCTAGAGAATCCTGTGAAAATGACAACATCACTTCTGGTTACGCACCTGGAATTGGCACTGCAGGACACTGTTTTGGTCACCCCACTCCCCTACCACCAGTACCCAGTACCCAAGGCAAGTAAATAAACAATTAAATAAGAAAAAAAAGAACCCTCTTGAAGTTACAGTTGTTTTTGTACCTTCTCCATTTCTCCTTTAACCACACATAGCACCACCAATTTTAATTTGTGGCCATGAACCTTTTTGAATGTAACAAAGGCGAATAATGTCATGTAATCACAGTATCCTTTGCAATGGTACACTGGAGGAGACAGATGGGGCTCAGCCCCGCTCAGCACTATTAGATGTGCCAACAAAGCTGTTTAGCAACTGTTAAATGTGCAAGGTAAGAGAAACAACGCAGGCAGTAATGGTGGTTGCATTTAGACCCAAAGTTAGGGTTGCTGATTTGAAAGGAAATAAATTGTGGTTTTTTCAGTATTGACGTCTACTGAGCAAAGTTTGATGTCTTCCTGCCACTGAAGGAGCACTCGTGGAGCTCGTGGCTCCTTCGCCAAGAGGAAGTCTCCTTCATTGGATCCACCTCAGGTAATTCCACCCCCCACAGGTATTGTACCACATGGTATCTGTGGAGGTGTGTCACGAGGCTCAGAAGAGAAGGACTTTTTACAAAAATAAATCAATAAAAGCATCGGTGATGAGCATGTACAGAGTGCATATGCCATGTTCCTCCTGCGGGCCTGGGTTCTGACACCTCTCATTTTAAAACATACCTCTTTCAAAACTATCCTGAGAACATAGTCCAAATACTTTTTAAAAAATGTAAAACATGTCTTTTAGTGGTTTCCTGCTGTCCCAGAAGGTCAGACCGGAACCAACAGGTTGAAATTAAATCAGAAGAGTTTTCGGCTAAACATTAGGAAGAACTTCCTGGCGGTTAGAGGGGTTCCTCAGTGGAACAGGCTTCCTCGGGAGGTGGTGGGCTCTCCTTCTTTGGAGGTTTTCAAACAGAGGCTAGATGGCCATCTGACAGCAATGCTGATTCTGTGAACTTGGGCAGATCGTGAGAGGGAGGGCAGGAAGGGCTACGTAAGTGCTTAGTTCTTGTGGCCCTTTCTTACACACCCAGGGAAATGCTGATTGCCACTTTGGTGTCAATAAGCAATTTTTCTCCAGGCCGATTTGGCCAGGGATCCTGGAGGGTTTTTTTTGGGGGGGGGTCATCTTCTGGGCGTGGACCAGGGGTCACTGTGGGTGTGGAAGGGGAGGTATTTGTGAATTTACTGCATTGTGCTGGGGGTTGGACTAGATGACCCTGGAGGTCCCTTCCAACTCTATGATTCCATGATTGCAGTGGTTTTCCTATGTCATGGATGACCATTTTGCCACATTTGAGCATATACAATCTGCTCTTAATAACATTCTTCATAACATTTCACAGAATGATACAGGCAATACAGGTGTTTATAATTCAGTTTAAATAAAACAACAAAAAGCTGTCTGCATCCATCCTGGGAGAAAGAGGCAGGGGAATGAGAAGAAAAGGCAATGAACTTAATTTTTAAAACGCAGTGCTGATCATTTGGATCTGCAGCTGGTAGCAAGTGGGAATCCTTTCTTGCTTTCATTACTGCATATGGAATGTGCAGTCCCCACGCAGGGTTTTTTGTTTTTGTAGAGGATCCAGGGGTCGGATGGGGCCGGAGCTCTCCGGAGTGCCACTCCGGGAGTGAAAAGCCATGGGGGCGGGGCCTCCCGGGGGTGCAGAGATCCACAGCGCCCCGGGAGGCCCAGCTACCCCTCCCTGCGCTTCCCGGGGCCACGGAGATCCGTAGCGCCCTGGGAGGTCTGGCCACCCCGTCCCAAGGTTCCTGAACTGGAGCCTTGAACTGGCTTGGCTGGTTGCCTGTGAGTCCCCGTGCAGAAAAAAAGCCCTTGAGTGAGTCCGTTTTGAATTTTTTTGTTTTTTTTGGGGGGGAGCTGGCATGCCCACATGGAGCCTTGAACTGTGAGTCCCCCTGCAGGAAAAAAGCCCCTTGAGTTCATTTTAAGTTTTTTTGAGGTGAGGGGTTGGGGGGGAGGAGGAGTTGGCTTCCACATGGAGGCTTCTGCCTGCCTGGCTGGTTGGTGGTGAGTCCAGGGGAGAGAAACACCCCTTGAGTTTGTTTTGAGTGTAATTTTGAGATCTTTTAAAAACTAATTTGGTGCCACAAAGCTAGCTTCCTTCCTTCCTTCCCCCCATCTATTTACTTTTTTTCTGGTTCTGCTGTGTGAGTTGGTGGATGCAGACCACTGGCATTGGCTTGCATCTGCCTGCTTCATGTAGGATGCACAACAGCCAGGTGGAGGAGGGGAGGGGTGTCATTCTACCAAAAACAAGAGTGTTTGGGTCTTTTTGTGAGTTTGAGGACAGGAACTAGCGCTGAAGTGAGATTGGAAAAGAGTATGTAGCTTTCTGAAAACCCTTGAAGAGGGAATAAGTTTGTTCTTGGAAGGGGCAGAGCAATATGGATCCCCTTTTCCATTTCTAATAGATTGCCCATTGGAAGCAATGGGAAATGAAGTTCCATTGGAAATAATGGGAGCCAGGAATGCCAATTGACTGGCATTGGCTCCATTGAAATACATTACAGTACAAGTAGAGTTGCAATAAAAATGCGGAATCGATTTTCTATTAGGGTCTCTGGGCCCAAATACACTACTCTGGGAATGGAATGAGAGACCACGGAGTGGAATGACAGCCCCTAGGAGTAACAGAAGTGTTCTGGGACTAGAATTGAGAGCCCATTGAGTGGGATGACAGCCCCAGGGTGTAGCAGGAGTGTTCAGGAACTGGAATGAGAGACCACGGAGTGGAATGACAGCCACAGGGGGGAGCAGGAGTGTTCAGGGACTGGAATGAGAGACCACGGAATGGAATGACAGCCCCAGGGTGTAGCAGGAGTGTTCTGGAACTGGAATGAGAGACCACGGAGTGGAATGACAGCCCCAGGGTGGAGCAGGAGTGTTCAGGGACTGGAATGACAGGCCCAAGAGTGGAATGACAGCCCCAGGGTGTAGCAGGAGTTTTCTGGAACTGGAATGAGAGACCATGGAGAGAGACCACAGGGCTCACCAGCTCTGAGTTGGGAAATACCTGGAGATTTTTGGGGTGGAGCCTGAGTGGTGGATGTTGCCTTCTGACACACTTCCGATGATGTCAGGGGTTGTGGCATATGCTAATTATTTAGGCTAATGAGTTATGCTAATGAGCTCCTGCAGCTCTTTTTCTACGAAAAGACCCCTGAGAGGATCCAACTGTGTACAGCCTACACAATCTACACAAGATGTTCCAACTACAGTGGTACATCTGGAAAAATACAGCCTCTAAAGCAGGAAAAATAAAATTTAAGACCGCAGTATTTTTGATGCTTGGGGAAAACCTGCACCCCTTGGACATGGAACTGCCAGGGGCTGAGATTGAACTGGGAATTTAGAAGGGCTCAGGAGCAAGGCTGGCCCAGTGGCCCCTGCAGCGTTGCAAGCCAGCGCAGCAGGATTCCACTGCGCTCAGCCCCGGCCAGTGGTGCTCCTCAGGCCTCTGCACTGCCCCCTCCTGCACTGCTGGCAGCCCCCAGGCCTGAGTGGAAGGACCCCTGCCATGCTAGCAGAGCAAATGGGACTTGGCGCTGCATGCACCTGCCCAAGAGTGCCTCTCCAGGCCGTGGCCCCCGATCAGGGCTTCTGTTTACATCACTGGTGAAGACTGAGGCACACATCTACCTCTGTGGCATTCTCAAAATGTTTTAGAAAGATTTTCAAAATTTGTTTTTCTTGGTTTAGTTGTCAAGTGTTCCTAATTATAATAATCAAGGCTATGCATGAACAGTAAATAGGCAAATGTTTAATGGAGCCTTACTAGAATCAAAACATGGTTTTAAAATATTATGAGGTGGGAAAGAAGCCGGTGTTGCTGGGGGGGGCGGGGGGGGACTTTGTGGATTGTAGGGGAATACGAGCCTTGTCCCTGTGCAACGTGGGACTGTGCATATCAGTAAGGTTACGGGGTAGTGTGTGTCCCTGTTATGTGCAGTTGGTAAGCTCTTATGACTGCATCGTCAGAAAAGGTCTGTTGTCTCTCCATCCTATATGTGTACATCAAGGAAGCCAGAATTTTCCCATATAGAAAAACATGAAGAAAATCTTTTCAAAGATGGAAGCTTACCTGGTCCTTAGAAATGGTATGATCTTTTTCTCCAAAGATGAAAAATGTGGGGTTCAGCAAATTGTACCTGTCTTCACTGTTTCTGATAATTCCTAAAGCATATTAGAAGAAAGAGCTGAAGGCTGAGGTCCAAAGCATACTTACAGGGGAGTAAGTCCCACTGAACGCAACAAGTCTTACTTCTGAGTATACAGGCATATCAAGCAGTGTGTTCTTCAAGAGGAACTGACAACATGAATGTGCACTTAAGGAGCCCGAGAGGCATCTAGGCAGCTTTCCTATATCAGATCATTTATTTGCTGGCAAGACGAATAGCATCTAAAGTTGGTTATGTTTCTCGTACACAAGTGATACCATTAAGGAATCTCTGCTTCCATTTTAATATTTTATTAAAGCTGCATGTTTATTGCTGACTGACTCAATGGAAAATTATACCATCAATTACAGTTGCATAGATAGATATGAGCCCATAATGTATTTTGCCGAAAGATCAGCAGTTCGCAAGCAAGGAGGCCCCCTCTAAGAAGAAACTCCCAATCAATTCAATTTCCAATATTTATAGGTTTTTAAAATCATCTCCTAACAACAGATAGCGATCCCATTTGATAAGGATGCACATTCTTGGTTAACTATTTATTATATAACTTCAAACACCATACAAAGTTATCTTTATTTAAATATTTTCTTAAAATATATACAAATTTTAGTTAATTCTTGCTGCTTTTTATCTTGACAAAGTCTGTTTAAAAGTAGTGATTATGAATTTTCATACATATAAATGTCTTGTGGTCCCTGACCAATACCACCCATGTTTGAATTATAGCTTCACTTTTGTGAAGCTGGACATTTCCGCCATTCTGAGATGCTCACGACACTTGGGCCTCAACACACAGTAGCTATTAGGGATGGGCATGAACCAGCTCACAACCCTGCATTCATGATGATACAGGGCCCGGTTTGTAGTTTGCAAACTGAGGTTCATGCCATCCTGCCCCCACAAACCTCCCAGGTGGTTCTGGAAGGTTTGTGTGGTTCATGTCAGCAGACACACTGGTGCCAGCAGCAGGGCTTGGAGAAGGCTTTGGAAAAAGTGCAGAAAAGGGCAACTCGAATGATAAAAGGGTTGGAACACTTTCCCTATGAGGAAAGGTTAAAGCGCTTAGGGCTCTTTAGCTTGGAGAAAAGACGACTGAGGGGTGACATGATCGAGGTTTATAAGATTATGCATGGGAAAGAGCAGGTAAAGAAAGAGGTACTTTTCTCCCTTTCTCACAATACAAGAACTCGTGGGCACTCCATGAAACTGCAGAGCGGTTGGGTTAGAACGGATAAAAGGAAGTACTTCTTCACCCAAAGAGTGATTAACACATGGAATTCACTGCCACAGGAAGTGGTGGCGGCTACAAGCATGGACGGCTTCAAACGGGAATTAGATAAGCATATGGAGCAGAGGTCCATCAGTGGCTATTAGCCACAAGGTATAGCTAGGGGCTCTGGGGCAAGTGATGCTCTGTCTTCTTGGTGCTTGGGGGGGGGGGTCAACAGTGGGAGGGCTTCTAATGTCCTGGCCCCACTGCTGGACCTCCTGATGGCACTGGTATTTCTGGCCACTGTGTGACACAGAGTGTTGGACTGGATGGGCCTTTGGCCTGATCCAACAGTGGCGTCTCTTATGTTCTTATGTTCTTAAGGCTTGAAGAAGACTGTGGTCTCTTTAAATGCCTTCTCCAAGCCACACCGCCACAGTGGCATGACTCAGCAAGTGAACTCAGAAGGCATTTGAATGTCTTTCATTGCATTATGTGCAACGTGCAAAATATCAAATGAAAATATAACTAGCCCATTTGCACAACTAGGCCAAGCTATCCTATGGATTCTTCTATTCTTGTGCAGTATATGCAAACTTGTACCAGCCTTGCAACTCCCATTGGGTCCCATCAACACAACACATGTTGTCCAATGGATCGCACAGTGTGCTTTCTTGGCCTTGCTTGGCTTGTTATCCTTCTACAGCATATCCAGGGAACCAAAGCCAGATCCCAGCAGCTATGCCAAGGCAAAGGTTGGAATTCTGCTCCAGCACTTGGACAGCTCTGCCTAGGGGCACGGATGTGTAGAGTAAGTACAGGGTAACAGAAACCTTCTGGCTCCAGAAAACCCTTCCCATGCTGACATCTCCCTAGAAATCCCTATGAATCTTATTGTGGAAAGCCTGTGTGTTGCAGGCACTTCTGGGATTTATTCTGAGTCTCTCACACACAGTTCTTGTGAAGAAATAGCCAGATTAGTAGGAGCTCCCTGTCACTCCACTTGAACCAAGAGTGGACCCTGCCGTTTCACTTGATACTCTTCTGTGGCATTGCAAGAGAAGATTGGTGGTGGTGAACAAGGTATATTTCAGAGAAACTTGTCCACAGTGACTTCTCTTTGCATCAAGGAAACCCCCAATAAGCTTCTGAAGAACCCCCTGGTTCCCCTGGAGAGTCTGAAAACTACTGGTGTGACTTGTCCAGGAAACCGAGTTAATGAAGGAAGACTGCAGTACACAGAAACACACATGAGCCTGCTTAAGTCAAGTGTTCTTCACTACCATAGGCAGATATCCCTGTCTTCAGTTCAGGGTTTGTCAGCATCAAGTGATGGGCAGCCATTCCACCCCAGGAAAAACCAACAACACCAATCTTCTTGACATTGTGCTGCTGCTGCAGACATTTCATGACAATGTCAGTTGTCCTAAGATATAAAAACAGAAGGAGACCTGGGCATGGGCATGGAAATCAAAAAAGAAATCACAGGATTCTAAATATTCACTCCCCTTCCCCAAACTTCACCCATTACTAAAATAATATTCTTTTTGTGAAAGAAAGACTGCCCAACTCTGTTAGGTGATACATTTTTAAAATGAGAATGATCAGAAGACCAATTCACACTAACCTTTTGAACTCAGCTGCCCTGGAAGTGAGTTTAAGAAGCAGAATTCACCTGCGGTGTCATTAAATAGACATGGCATAGAGGCACCTTTAAATGGCTGGGTTCTCTTACAACAAACAGTAGCACTCTGGAAAGTATCAGGTTCCCATTTCTGTATTTATTTTTCCTGTTTGTAGATGTAGATACTCAGAAAAGGTGTCATGTCAGAGAATCAAGAGGGAAATGAATGAATAAAAATGAATGGATTGATCAGTGAAAATGAAGTTAAGAGAGAAATGTGGTGCTATTCCGTTTTTCTTGCTTGGAAGAATAAGTGAATAAGGAACAATGAGAATTGAAAGAATGGTCGAATCTGCATTTGTCTTTCCCACTGTTGTCCCAGCCTTCTGACTCTGCCTTCAAAAAAGCTGTCTACATTTGGTTTCGTTTTCACACCTCAACAGAGCTAGCATACTGTTGCATGTCTGCATATGTTTATCGCCCTCTCATGGTGGCTCCACGGTCACTGTGCCTCCGCACTGGTTTAAAGGGACCGTTTTTCCCCATATGTGCCCCAGAGAGCATTAAGATCTGGATCCCAAAACCGCCTGGTCTTTCCGGGCCCGAAAGAGGCCAGGTTGGCCATAACGAGGGCCAGGGCCTTTTCTGTGGTGACCCCTCACTGGTGGAATGAGCTCCCAGAAGAGATCAGGGCCCTGTGGGACCTTTTGCAGTTCCACAGGGCCTGTAAAACAGAGCTCTTCCACCAGGCTTTCAAGTAGGGTGCCGCCACGATATTATGGCCCTGGCCCTGACATCAACACCACCAACAACCTGGATGATGAACAGCCTGGCAGGAGCCTGGAGGCGGCCGTTCAAGCGACGGGTGGGTGTGGGTGTCACCATCTGTCTTATAGCCCTGTGCAGGGTAGGTATGGTTTATATTGCAATTTTAATGGAATGTTGGTTTTAGCATACATATTGGAGTTTTAATGTATTTATTGATATTTACGTCGTTAGCCATCCTGAGCCTGCTGAAAGTGGGGAGGGCAGGATACTAATATAATAAATAAATAAAAATAAATACAAATTAAATGAATCTTCTCCAAAGAACGTTCAAACAAGCATAGAGAAAGACGGCGTTACAGCAGCACGAAACTGATTTAAAAATGCAAATACAGATTCGACCAATATTTAAAGTTAATAGTGAAAGTTATCTGCATGTGTGAACGGAGGGACTGATCCATATTAAGGGTTCTCAAAGCCTGCACAACTTGTGACACACTCTGCCAAACACAGACCACAATAAATGGCCCATAGGCTACATTTGGCCTCGTACATCAGAAGTTGTGTTGGCTTCTTTTAGACTATAGCCTTTGTCTCAATCCCACATGGACAGAAAAATCCTAAAGCCATTAAAGCCTTTGTCCACGTTTGTAATGCCTTCTTTGATCTTTGTTCAAAATTCCAATAAGTGTGTCCATCTGGCCTTCCTGATTTAGCTGCATTTTTCTTGTCTGATATTTACCAAGTAATTTAAATATTTCAAAATAGATAAATATCTTACCTGTCTACTTTCATGGGATCCCGATGTTTTAACCAGTCCCCAAAATTCTGCCAGCGATCATTAGGTGTCCAAGGTGCTTTCCCCAGGAAAAAATCTGGGCAGATGATTCTGTAGGGACAGCAGTAAGATGTTACTTAGACAGTTTAGCTTCTTCCATTTTCTACCAAGCTGGTTAACCCCAATTTCCTATGTCTATCTGTGTCTATCTCTCCCTCATGGATCACTGCCTTGTCGTGGCGAGGGGGCTTGCATGGTTCGATGAGGCTGTGGGCTATGCCTTGGAGGGCCACCCAGGACGGGCAGGCCACAGCAGAGAACTCAGACCAAGTGTGATCCACTGGAGAAGGAAATGGCAACCCACTCCAGTATCTTTGCCAAGAAAACCCCACAGGCAGTAACAAAAATCTATAAGATATGACACCAGAAGATGAGCCCCTCAGGTTGGAAGGTGTCCAATATGCTACTGGGGAAGAGCAGAGGGCAAGTACAAGTAACCCCAGAAAGAGTGAAGCGGCTGGGCCAAAGCCGAAAGGACGCTCAGCTGTGGATGTGTCTGATGGTGAAAGGAAACTCCAATGCTGCAAAGAACAATACTACATAGGAACCTGGAATGTAAGATCTATGAATCAAGGTAAGCTTGATGTGGTCAAAAATGAGATGGCAAGGCTTCCGGTCTGGCTCCCGCGCATGGCGGACGCTTCGTCGGGTCGCTCCCGAGGGCGCCTCGCCCGCCCACGGTGGAGGAGGGAATCCGCGCGAGCGGAGACCCGAACGAGCCCCTCAGAAGAGAGGAGCTCGGATCCGGGGCGCTTTAGGGCGCACTAGGGGGGAG